CATGGCAATGGAGAAGCAAGGAAGAGGTGGAGAAGGAAACGAACGTATTAGCAGCCAGCGTGGCTCCAATATCCCCAAAAAGCATTCTTAGAACCAGGGTAACTCCAAATACTGCCCTCGCGTTCATCGTCGTGGTCGTCGTTGTCGTTGTCCTCCTCCACGTCATCCCTCTTCTCGCAGGTCCCCCTCCCGTTCCCCCTCCCTCTCCTACGAAATCCTTCGCCTCTCTTCTTCTCCTCCTCCTCCTCCTCCTCCTCCTCCTCCTCCTCCTCCTCCTCCTCCTCATCCTCATCATTCTCATCATCATCATCATCATCATCTCATCATCTTTCTTCTTTCATCACATCATCATCATCAGCATCAGCACGCAGCATCAGCATCAGCATCATCATCATCATCAGCATCAGCTCAGCATCATCATAGCATCATCATCAACATCAACATCAATCAATCATACATCATCTTTATATCATCATAATCTCATCACATCATCATCATCACCATCACCACCATCATCCATCATCATCATCATCAGCATCACTCATCAATCATCAGCAATCATCGTCATCATCGCCATCATCATCATCATCATTCATCATCATCATTCATCATCATATTCATCAGCATCATCATCATCATCGTCGTCCATTCATCATCATCAGCATCATCATCATCATCATTCATCATCATCATCATCATCATCAGCTCGTCATCATCTCATCCATCAAACATTCATCATTCATCATCATCAGTATCATGATCATGAGTATCATGATGATGATCATGATCATCATTCATCATCATTCATCATCATCATCATCAGCATCATAATCATCATCAGCATCAGCAGCATCAGCATGAGCATTCAGCATCAGCATCAGCATCATCCTCAGCATCAGCCTCATCATCATCAGCAGCATCATCGCATCATCATCATCAGCATTCATCACACAGCAACAGCAGCAGCAGCCACCATCATCATCATCATCAGCAGCAGCGTCATCATTCAATCATTCATCATCACGCCATGGCATCATCATCATCAGCATCATCATCATTTATAATCATCACCACCACCATCATCATCATCGTCATCATTCAACATCATCATCATCAGCAGCAATCATCCGCATCAGCAGCAGAATCATCATCATCATCAGCATTCATCATCATCATCAGCATCATAATTCATCATCAGAATCATCAGATCATCAATCATCATCATCTATCACATCGTCATCATCATTCATCATCATCTTCATCATCGTCATCATCATCATCATCATCATCATCATCATCATCATCATCATCATCATCATCATCATCATCATCATCATCATCATCATCATCGCCTTTACGTGTCCTGCTTGTCCTCGTCCTCCACCTCCTCCTCCTCCTTAACCTCCTCCTCCTCCCCCCTTCTCCTCCTCCTCCTCCTCCTCCTCCTCCTCCTCCTCCTCCTCCTCGTCATGCTCCTGATACTATTGGTCCTCATGGCTATCATCGCCCCTCTTCGTCCTGCTAGTTCTCCCCCTCACACTCCTATTCCTCTCACTGGAAACAGCTTCAACATTTGCTCAGACATGGCCTTTCCGCGTGGGAATTCTTACAAATGACTCGGGAATCCTGCCCTCGCCTCGGCGCCAACTATCCGCTGGCCCCCTTGCGGGGCCATCAGGCTGCGAAGATTAGGCTTGCAGCTCCCTGTACCAGTTCCAGTTTCCAGTTTCCACTGTTACAGTCCTGCTTTCTGCTTCCTCACTATTAATTGTTGCTGAACGCGCGAGGGGAGGAGCCGAAAAGCGTCCTGGCTAGCGTCCCCGAATCTCGCTGTCTGAATTCCCGGGGGGTCGTGGGACCGGGAAAAATATATAATATTCGCGTCCCCGAGGCCATAGTCCCCAGTAAACTACACCAAATTTGCGTCCCCGAGACAATCAACCCTTGTAAATTACACCAGATTCGCGTCCCCGAAGCCATAATTCCTTGCAAATTAAACAATATTCGCGTCCCCGAGGCAATCAACTTTTCTAAGTTGGACGATAGTCGCGCCCCCGAAGCCATAAACCCTTGCAAAGTATACAATATTCGCATCCCCAGGGCCATAAACCCTCGTCAATTACATTGTGCTTGCGTCCCCGAGGCCACAAACCCTCGCAAATTATACCGGTTGCCTTACCGAGGCCACAAACCCTGGTAAATTACATAATGTTCGCGCCCCCGAGGCCATAAACCGTTGTAAATTACACGATAGTGGCGTCCTCGAGGCCACAGACCCCCGTAAATTATGCAATAGTCGCGCCCCCGAAGCCATGAACCATCGTAAATTGCTTAATTTTCAGTCCCGACTCCGTCCCCGAACCCGCGATTCAAGGAGTCGGGACTGGGGGTGGGGGTGGGTTCTCGGGGTCCAGGAATGGAGAAAACTCGAATCGCCTGCTCGGGGATGGGCGTCGGGACTGGGGGTGGGGGTGGGTTTTCGCCTTCTGAGTTTGGGCGATCCCCCTCCACCTCCCCCTCCCCTCCCCCTCCCCCTCCCCCTCCCCATCCTCCTCCCCTCCTCCTCTCCTCCTCCTCCTCCTCCTCCTCCTCCTCCTCCTCCTCCTCCTCCTCCTCCTCCCCTCCTCCTCCGCCTCCTCCTGCTCCTCCTCCTCCTCCTCCTCCTCCTCCTCCTCCTCGAGACGTCTCGAGCGAGCAGGCCCGACCGCCCCGCGCACGGCGCGTCGGAGCCCAGACCTGCGAGGACGTCTCGGGCGAAACGGGCACCACCTCTTTGACGGCACGTCGGAGCCCAGAGTTGTGAGGATGTCCAAGGCGAAGCGGGCCCGACCACCTCGCGCGCGGCCATCTGGGAGATCAGAGATGCGAGGACGTCTCAAGCGAAACGGGCCGAAGCACCTCGCGCACGACATTCGAAGTCAAGAGCTGCGAGGATGTCTGAGGCGAAACGGGCCGGACCACCTGTCGTGCGGCATCTTCGAGCCCAGAGTTGGGAGGACATCTCAAGCGAAACGGGCCGGACAACCTGTCGTGCGGCATCTCCGAAGGTCCCAGATGGGCAGATGGGGGGGGTGCACGCGGCCTGAGCAGAACCTGCTGGGGGGAGGAGCGGATGCCGATGGCGATAGCAATCGCACGGCGGTGTACGGCGAGCCATCGGGAACGTGGAAGATGCTCAGACATGTCAAGATTCAAACCTTCAGCGAAATCGTGGAAATGGCATGATGCTGCTGCATCCCTCACTCAATTATCTCTGAATCACGTAGGAGTCACTGAAGGCATGCCCAGCATGTTGCCATCGTTGGTAACGTCAAGAGCGCCCTGAACACCAGTCCAGAAACGAGCCCAGGCAACACAGGCCAAACTGAGCGCAGGTTGAGCCACGCCAAGCGGAGCGAAAGCGAAAGCTGAAGCTCAAGCTGAAGCACAGGCAAAGCCGACGCCAGGCCGAAGCCACACAGAGATGCGCGGCCCCCGCCCGTGCGAGCAGGAGCGAGGGAAGCGAACACGAAGAGCGTCGCGGGCCCCACGCCCTCCCCGCGCGCCCTCCCCGCCGCGCCCGCAACGCCCCCCCGAGCACCCTCCCGCGCGCCCTCCTCGCGCGCCCTCCGCGCGCACCACTCCGCTTCCCAGCCACGCGCGCGCAGGAACACATGGAGACCGCTCGGCCCCCCTCGCTCTGACGAAGGTCCGCCGCCGCGCCGCTGGGCACGGAGTGGGCGTGTCCTCAGGCTTGCCCAATAGCCTACATAGTAAGCGTCAGTCCTCACTCCTCAGGAGTCTTTACGGGGGAGCCCGAATTCACAAATCTCCGGGGCCTGTCGCGGCTTCCCGCGGCTTGTCCCATGACTCTTGAGGCCCAGGGACGGCTTCAAGGCCCAAAATGGTCCGAGAGTGCCCCCAGTCGCCGAAAGACCGCTCCAAGACGCCCAAGGCGGCCCCACGACGCCAAAATCATGGATTTGACTTGGGTGTTTGAACGATGTTGGCGTTCTCGCACTTTCGGCTTCGCGACGCTCCAAGATAGCTCACGAGGCCCCAAAGATCGCCCGAAGACGCCCCCGACAGGGCCCCAAGACGGCCCAAGAGGGCCCCAAGACGGCCACCAAGATGCGCCCAGGATGGACCAAGAGGGCCCAACAACAGCCCCAAGAGTGAGCCCAGATGGGGAACCCGAACGGACATCTCGAACCCTCGGCCCCGAGGGCCCCCCAGGAGGCCCCCAAGAGGCCCCCAAGAGGCCCCCAAGAATCCCCAAGAGGTTCCCAAGAGGCCCCAAGAAGCCCCCAAGAGGCCCCCAAGAGGTTCCCAAGAGGCCCCCAAACTGCTCCAAGAGGCCCCCGAGAGCGCTCCGAAGAGACCCGAAGAAGCATCCCTGAGAACCCTGACCCACAACCCAGGCACGGTCACGGGTTGGGCCGAAGGCCATTAGATGCTAGATCAAGATCAAGATCAAGCTGCCTGAATATCACTGCAACTGGAGTGCAAATACCAGGCGTGCCTAAAGCTGAGCCAACCTTAGCTTACACTGAGCAAGTGCCAAGGTGTGGCCAAATGCTCCATGGTAGAGCTTTTGCAAGTCTTCTGAAGGACCCCCACACCTCTCCCCACGCAGTGCAAGGAAAAGGAGATACAAGACGACGACGACGACGCCGCCGCCGCCGCCGACGACGACGACGCCGACGACGACGACGACGACGACGACGACGACGACGACGACGACGACGGGCCAAGCCCGCGCGCCACCGTGCTCCGCCCAGGAACACGGCACCACGCCGACTGCGCCGGCCATGGCGACGGCTGCGGCGGCGGCGACGTCGACGCCCCCGGCGGCGACGTCGACGTCCACGGCGGCGGCGGCGGCGGCGGCGGCGGCGGCGGCGGCGGCGGCGGCGACGACGACGACGACGACGACGACGACGACGACGACGACGAGGACGACGACGACGGCCCGCGCCGACGTCCCCGGCGGCGGCGGCGGCGGCGGCGGCGGCGGCGAC